ACAACGAAATCAAATCACATAATATTATAATTCTCACTATTTAAATAATGATTTAATATCTCAAATCATGAGCACAAATGTCAAGTAATAATCAATAACATTTAAATTGAATTCATATACTAAAATCATATGCTTACAAACACGATGTCACAAGCGCAATGCATAAAATCGAAAATCACACAATGCTATGGAGTCCACTGAGGTGTGCTAGCAACACTGTACCAGAGCTAATCACGGTACTAACCCTACTGCGCAAAGATCCACTAAATACCCCGAAGGGTCCACTGAATACCCCAAGCTTCAAGCTTAGGTCCACTTACTCCATAGCCACAAACACATACGCATGTCAAACAAATTCATAATATGTCCAAAATAATATTAGGACTCCCTATTGGAAGAGATCAAAGCATAATGCGTGAACAGTAATCATGAACAGTAATCATGAACAGTAATTTGTAAATAATACAATTTACTTATAATTCCTGCAGCAAAAATCACACCCAAATCAAACCATAGAAAGGACTAACTCATTATCATTGCCATATAAACCCCAAAATTAAGGATATCTCTAATAAAAGTTTAATACCCAAAAATCTTATAAACCAAAGGATTAAAGTTAAATCTCACCAATTTAAACTACCCAAAACTCTAACCCAAAATTCATAACTAAAACTTATACTTACCTAATAAAAGGACCTTAACCTTGGTTGGAGAAAAGAGGAAGAAAAGGATGGAGGTGGAAGAGGAAGGCATAGGAAAACCAAATGAGGCTTTTGGGAGCCTTCTGGAGGCTTATCCAAGCTTCCACCGACAAAGACCAAAAACTTGGTTAGGAAAATGCCATGTGTTAAGTAAAATTGGAATAATTGAGTTATGGTCATTAAACTTCTACTAAGTTTTACTTTAAACTCCCAAACTTTAAATTCAATCAATTTAATCCCTAAAACTATAAACTAAAGGACATTAATTTTTAAATTATTCACTAAAGTATGTGGGGTGTTACATCAGGGCATATACGGACCAAAATCGATCCGTATATACTTATACCGACTGATTACGGTCCGTATAAGTATATACGGACCGGTATCGGTCCGAAAATATATTTGAAAAAAAAAATAAAAGCTATAAAAAAATAATTTAATTTGATATTCCTTGCATAATTTTATGATATTGAATTATTTTCATATAATTTATGATGTTTATCATATAACATGCTAGAAATTTTTTTAAATTTAGTATAAATATATAAGTCTCCAATATCTATTACAAATATAAAGTCAATACAAATATTTAATGAAAATATGAAAAACCTAAATATCTCGAGGTGTCCTAGGGGTGACTGTCCCACTGGTATCCACTGGAGTCATCCCTAAATGCTGGTAGAGTTGCTGCATCTGTGTCGCAAGGGTGGACTGTTACTGCCGTAGGTTATCATTATCCGCTAAAAGGGCCATTTGTGTTTGTCGAAGGCTATCATTATCTGCCTTCAATGATTCAATAGTCTGCTCTAATTCGATAGTCCTATTAGATTGTCCTATAATAGGTGGCCTAAATGGTTCTCGTCTAGATGTACTCACACCTATATCCTATGGATGTGTGTGAATATCCAAACCTTTCAGCCATCCTTTCTTGACCCCACCAGTTGCCCTAAGTAATATCTCACCATGAGGTATTGTAGGATCAAATCCTTCTTCTTCTTGTCTAGTAGCATATTCAGCTGTCAATTTTTCCTGAAATAATATAAGACAAAATAAATAATTAATTGTATTGAAAATTAAAGTGAAATTATAAATATCACTTTAGGCACCTAAATTCAATTTACTCTCCCCTAAAAGGATGGAGTTCTAACTTTTTACCAATAACTATATTGTATAATAGTTTAAATATTATAACTAAAATAAGTTCAATTAATTCATGACACAATTTAAAATAAAATTGTTAAGTTAAATACTTACTCCAATTTCTTGAGCCTCATCATTACAATATACAAACAGTTGGTCTTTTCCTTTTCCTTTGTGCTGCCTTCTATTGGTGTAGACCTCAGGATATGTTGGTAGACGACCCTCAGGGTTTGCTTGTTGTTGTAAAGAAAAAAAAAGAAGAGAAAATATTAAAATCAATATAAAATAAATTATAAATCATAAATCATTATTATTTATTAAAAATATGTTAACTTTTATACCATTTTCTTTCTATAAACATTAACGTCCATTGAACTGCTGGTATGCGTCACCCTCAGTCCTTTTGCTCGATTAGCCTTTGCAGAACTTGACCTTCTCAAATGACCCTCGTCCTGTAAAAGTAGTGAACACATATATTTTCGTAATTAATAATATGATAAAAACATTAAACATTACAATTGAAAATTAAAAAATAAATAATAATAAACACATGAATTTACTCCATTACCTCAGTCCATAAATGAACAAGCTTCGCCCATAACTCTAGATTCATAT